AGGCTCTCATCCCTACTTGCGGCAGTGGGCATAAATAAAACCATAGTCAAAACCACACAAGTTTATTAAAAAAAAAAAAAAAAAATCAAGAGAAGGTTGAAATATTTTTAACAGTTTATAGCAATTTTAACATTATTCTCTGTCCCTCTTCAAATAGATCCAAAACCCAGAAAAAATTAAATACTGATGTTAATGTGAACATTTCCACAGGAGCCTGCAACGGGCTTTCGCTCATGCTTCAAAAGAAAATAAAATAACTCCTGGGATAGAACTTGTTATTCCTCATTCCCATGCTGTGTCGATTTGGGAGGACAATCTAACCTCTGCACCACCGAACGTTATCTTGTCTCTGAAACGGGATAAGGTTTTTCTCCCTAAATGATTGCAGGGTTTTTCATCCCTCTGACAGAGGATATTAAGAAGTGCTGATGCAAAGTTTTCATGAAGTCTGGAGGAGTTTGTCTCCTAGAAGAGCAAAGAATCATTAGGATGTTCATGCAATAGCCATGAACTTGGCCAGCAATAAACTGCTCTTCCTTTGAAGTGCACACTTCAGATATTTGTGCCTATAGACACCGAGCGTGTTTTCCCACACGCGGTAACCTTTTCTTCTGCTGACTGCACATCACAGACTAGTGCAGCATCACAAATGTAGCATTAATGGTCTCTGGGTTGCTCAAGAAAGAAGGGTGGGAGGCTGGGAGAAGCAAAACATTGCTTATAAAAAAGAAGGAACGCTATGAGGAAAACCAGTCTAAAGAAATATGCCGGGGTCCCGCTGTTTGGAAACATTTGCCAGCCTAAAAGTCTTTAAGTCATTAAGAACTCACCTCTAAGTTGTGCAACACGTTTGCTATTAATTTATCTAATAAATATAAGTACTAGCAAGGAAGAGGTCAAGGAATGTTTTAACTACAGCCAAATTTTCTTTGACTTTGTCTTTTATTTCCTTTCTTTTTAGGTCAGCACTAAAAATTAAAAATCTTGAGAAAAAAATGGAAACAGTTACTACTTTAAAACAAGCAGCTTGGAAAAGAGAGAGAAAAATGGGTTTTCTTCACACCCCACTGAAATAAAGACCTGCAGGTTCTGTTGAGTTTTTGATCAGGCATTAAGACATTTTTCCAACCTAGCTTCTGAGGTGATCACTTCTAATAGCAGTGATTACTGCTGCTAGTATTACACCAGAGTAATGATAACAAACACTGTGTTTGACCATTAACGAGAAAGATTATAATACTGGTTAATAGAGGCTTGTGTTCAATAGCTATTAAAGTTCTGCTGTTATCCCTCCCCGATAGCTAAGCGCATAAATAATGATGAGTTATGAAATGCTCTCTAGTCTCTCTGCATGGGCAGGAATTGTTTCGATTGCAACAGGCATGTCTTGCGTGTGGCATATCTTAACCACAAAATTGATATCGAAGTACAGAGTTTGGTGTCATCGACGTTCAACTCACAGCTGAAACTATTTTGGAGTTTTGTTAAGAATGACAAGATTTGATGAATGGAGATTAATGATTAAAATATTTCAGCCTTTCTAAGTCCTCGCACAATGTGATGGCAAATAAGTCTTCAAAGAGATTTATTTTTGTTCCTAGCAGCTGGATATCGAGAGCCTGCTGTTCCTGAGGGAGTCCCAGAGACCTACTTGATGATGGGAGTGTTTCACAGCTGTAAGAGACTCGGATTGTTAAACAATGACTTGAGCTGTAACATATTTTAGTGACTAGACTCTTAAAACCCTGAGGTTTTCTAATTGCCTACAGCCAGCCTGCTTATCACTGGAAACCTGCGAGCTCCTATGTTGTAACATGAGGCAGTGAAAGCCTGTCTTAAACATGTCATTCAATTACAAGGAAATTATTCCAGAAAAAAACCCCGAAACCGATAATCTCCCACCCCATTTTTTCTGCTGTCAGAGGTGCAGGTGGGCCAGGGGGCTTGCTGACATAGGCAAGATGGCACCATTCCTGATGGACCCCTGCAAGGGTGCTGCTTTTTGAGCGCCACTTGAGAAGGCAGGGCTGTGAACAAAACCTGTGATGAGGGTAATGGATAAATGGTGCGCACTGGTTCCTACGGAATAAAAACCAGCAAATGGCAGAGAAACCGTCCTCCAGCTCGTGAAATCCTTCCCCAAGGTGCATACAGCAGTGAGATTTATTCTGTTGTCAGTGGCAGGGTGAGCTTGTCTTTAACCATCATGATAGTACCAAAATTACAGCTGTAAGACCCTGTATCGTCTCTTCAGAGAAGAAAACGCCTGAAATGGGTATCACCAACACCCTATTCTACAAGGCATAATGGCATTAATAGTATTAAAGGCCTTTATGGTCCGTAGAAAAATATTCCTTATTATCACTTACGCAGGAAAACAGGTGTGAAAATTAATTGTTTTTCCTACCTACAGAGAATATTTATTTGCAAGGCAATTACTCAATTACAAACATTTCCATTAAGAATTTGAATGAAAATTAAATTTGGACAATGCCAGAGAAGCATTTGTGAAGTCATGATGACAGAAGTAGAGCTTTTGTAAAGCACTTTTTATAAGCTGCGTGCACATTTAAAAATCACTTTGAAACTCTCATCAAAGATTTAATTACAGGCTCTGTAGCGATCTATATTACCAGGCCTTGATTATTTCTGCAAAATATGCTACATTAACTTACATATGATGGAGCTGTAGATTTAAATAGCTTTAAAGTATTATAATTAAAATTAAATAACCATAAACAAAATTAATGATAACATTTTCTGGTTCATAGCCCTAGTTTTTATGGACTCTATTCACTGGCTCATTAGTATGCCAAAAGTAGTCATTTTCTATCATGCAATCATAATCCTGAATGGCTACACTTGTGGATATAATTCTGCTCAAAACCCACATGACAGAGAATCAAACTACACAAAGTTCCAGTTCTGCCTTGAAATTAAAAAACAAAACAAAACAAAAACCTAAACCAAACAACAATAAAACAAACTAAAAAACTTACAATGAATGCCTTACTGTTATAGAAGAGAAATACATTAATAACTATTTTTAGGGGGCAAAAAAATCCTCACTAAATCTGGCATCTTTCTAAAACTTATCTGTTAAAATATTTAAGACAGCTTTCCAAATTTCTTGTTTAGCTTGGTTTTTATTCTGTGACAAGACATTTTTGGGGGTATTGTTTGCATTAAATGCATTTGCATTGTTTGCATTAAAAATATTATTCTGAAAAATCTAGTTTTATCCTTATTTCACATAGGCAGTGACAAGACCAGAATTAATCTACAATAGAAATAGCTACAACTTCCCTGGAAAATTAATCTTTTTAGAACCTTGTACCTAATTGCCATATGGTAAAACCTAGTGTGACATTTTGGGTCAACATGAAGCACCATTTTGTTTGATAATAATTTATTATTCTTACCCTGTTTTGACATGTTTTAGTGCTACGCAAGTTTTTGGCTAGTAATTTTCAGTGAGCAGCACGCTGTCTTGCCTCAGTCATATACAGCACCTTGTCACAAAACAATTCAAGTTCTACTTTGATTTTTTCTTCCCCAGAAATATCGATTATGTGGGATGTCTGACTTACTGTAAAAAGAATAATTTGCTTATATGGTGCCAGTCAGTTTCCAGGCATCACATTTTAAAGAATGAAAAATCCAATAATTTTGGATCAAAAAAAAAATGCCAATAATGCCAACTTTGAAGCCATTAGTTTTCCTGTATCACTCTGCCAGAAATCAAACTGCTGGCACTATGCATGTTCGTAAGTGAACAGCAACTGAGGGAATATGGAGAAACTTCAGCTCCAAAGGTGGATGCGATCAATCTGTAAGAATTACCTGAGCAAAATAATCAAGTATAAAAAAGTTATTCCTATGAAAGACGGGAAATACTTCAAATGAAACCCACACTTTAGAAATGCCAATGCTTGTTTACATAGAATGACTAAGTGTAATACCTCATGGCACTCTGTGGACCTTCAACATTTTTACAACAAAGGAGGAAAAATTACAGTTCTGCAGTCTCCCATTTCTCCAGGACCAATGCTGAACCCAGTTTTGCTCTAGGAAAGTCTTAAATTCCTCAGAAAAATCACACTTACATGTTTTTTGCAGTAGTTTGGCACACTTCTTTCCTGTATATTTCTTGATAAACTGGAGTTACTGCCTTGATCCATGTGGCTGTGCCTAAAGCAAGAGGGAACCTTCCCGCCTAGGTGGGATCGAAGCTGTCACCTTCTGAAGAGGCTGCCTGCAGCTAATGGCCACACAAGGCTGCTCATAGCTGATCCTCTCTCCTTTGCAAGACCTTGACAGCCATAAGAATGAAAACTAAAAAAAGACTCCTCTATTTGGGGATGGAGAAAAAGGGGGGCTTTTCTTCACTGCGGATGACTAGCTACTGCATGTTCCAGTAACTGCTGGCCTTCAGGTGGTTTTTCCCCTCAAGTGGTTAAGTAAAAATAGGTGTGGATAATGATGAATTTAATTTGCACCTGAAGCTTGTACAGGATCAGGTCTGTAGGGAGGTAGATTCTAGTGTGTCCTCAGCTGCAGAAGGAGAGACAGGTGCAGGCTAAAAAAAAGGCTTGTTATAATCACTCCTCTTCAATGCAGCTGGTTTAACAAGAGCACAGAGGTCTATTTGGACCACGCTTGGAAAATGGGAATTTCCATCTTTTTGTTCTCTTCTTAATGTACTGTGCAGAAAGGTCACTTGTTCTGGCAGTGGCTAATATCTGACATCCGAGCAGATCCTTAACAGGGGTAAATTGACATAGTTCAGCGGTATAAATAGCCACAGCAGCACTCACCGGCCGAGGATCCGCTTGAAAATGCTTTTGATTAATTTCCTGTTACCGGGTTGGTCTTCAAATGCCTCTAGATAACTTCCTGGCAGCGCAGTTACAACGCCATTTGCAGCATGGCGTTTCCATAGTTTTGCCTCTGATTCGCAAGCCAGCACTTGACGCTTTCTATTGATCATATTCACCCACCTCTGTTGGTGGCCTTGGCGGGGAGCTGACTCGAGAACCTTCCCGGCGCAATCTGTACCGACACCGCGCAGACGAGCAGCGGCATTAATGCCTCCCGTCCTCCATCTTCCGATTTTTCCCGTGTGTATTTACCAGTCTGTGGAGTCCTCACCATGCGTGGAAGGACTTCGTGCCCTTCTTCCTCTGGCATGTAGGGCTGGGTGATATAAATACGCCACTCCTTCACTTCCCAGCATACGTTTATGGCTCTTAACTCTTAAAGGATTTGTTGTTCAGTTATGATGGCAACTTTTCAGTAGCATTTGCATGACCAACAAATACTGATTAAAAAAAATGGACAGCCATTTCCATAATATATTCTATGAAATCCTTAAGGATTTTTTTTTTTCATGTGTGGTTATTTGGACTAAAACTGTTCAACTGTAGCGTTTTATGGTAATTTGACTTTAAATATGGTTGCAGCACAAGTGGGATTTATAGTCGTAAGATTCATTTTCTAGAAGCAGGTGAAGAAAGACGTATTTGAGCAGCAGAAACCAAAATTTGCACAGCGAACCTCAGAATAGGGTTATCTTTTCTACAAGGTTGTAATACCAGGATTATGAGCTCAATTTTTTTGTCACCTATATGAGTTCTGATGAAGCGTAACTAAACTCAGTGAAGCTACTCCTGATGGAGAACACATACCATCCTCAGGAGAGCCCAGTGCCAGAAAGGGATCTAGTTTTTGTATCCATGATGTATAGCTGAGATTTTACTTCCAGTCGTATGTAAAACTGCAGGAACAACACAAGGTGGAAAAGGACCATCGCTTCAAAAAATAAGAAAGCTAGAGAAAATCGTAGCAGCTTGAAGGCAGAAGGAAGGAGATGCTCTTGGGGCTTCTCTCAAGTCCCAGTGACCACCCCCAGGTAGGTCAATGGGCAGGACCCCAAACTGGTGGTTTAGGCACAGTCCTTGCCACCTCTGTTTCCTGGCCCTTCCTTCCAACCAATGCACTAGAAAAGCAACTGACAGAGATAGGGGCAAGAGGGCAAAAAGGAAGAGATAGCATTTTGTGCCAGATTTTGGGCCACATAGTGATAATGTGGAGACGGAAAAGCATTCACGTCCCAACCTGCCTGTACTCCATCTGTTTGCAACAAGATACTTAGACCCTGTGTAAGCAGAGGGAAAAGGGATGGGGTTTTTTTATTGCACATTCATGTAGATTTTGAAAGGAGGAAACCAAGCAAGCTAAAATTAAACATAATTTTCTCTTTTTCCCCATAGACTCAGTCTGGACGGATGCCAAACCACATTTCGGAGGGGTGAGAAAGGCCCAACATCTGCTTCTGGTGTAACTGTTTGTATCTTCACTCTAGGAAAATTAGATTTGAAATAATCTCAAATTGTCTGACACCTGTATCCTATTAGAAGTGACACATGGAAACACCTTCAGCATACTGAATTTAGCACCATGTCAACAGTTTAAAGTTAACAGGAGAAAAACTGGTAAAAATCATTGCTTTCCAGTTTCTGCTGAAACAGATCTTGTGTCATTTCACAGGATCATACTGCAAGCTTGATCCATAAACGTAATGGGGTTTGAACCAGTAATTATAACATGGTTTGTGTCCCTAGCTATAGCTGGAATTAAATTCAGCGTGCACCTCAAGGTGACTGCTGTGCTGTATTTTGAGCTCAGCGGAGGCACACCTGTGGGTTGGGCGCCAGCCAGCACCTGGGACACTGACATGCAGTGATTTCAGGGACATTTTTTTCTGGAGTTCAGCTATGAATCTGAAGTTTAGCAACGTGCAGCTTATGAGAATAGCGAGCAGGTCATATCTTATTTGTCTCAAGAACGGGACATTGTCCAAAGGGAATTTGTCTCAAATTCCTGTGACAAAAGGTAAAACCTGCATGGCATAGAGGTTTGCTAGTTTTTGGACACAGAGAAAAACCAAAAGAATTCTGAAGTCGGGCAACTGGTTTTGCTATATCGCCTGTTCATTTCCCTCAGTGCAGATGCTGAAGTGCATGTAGGGATTTATTTTAAACTCTCTTTCCAAACCTATGCAATCTCCCATTTGCAAATGCCTCTGTTTAGGAACAGAGTTGGTGACCTTTTCCCAGATAACATACTGACAATACGATTCAAGTTCTTCTGAGAGTGACGTTCATTAAAATTCATAAAACTTTATGACTTCCATAAAATTTATACTACCTAAAAATGCATTATCCATTACAAAAACATATGTCTTCCCATTCATCTTTAAACACATTCCTTTTTTTGAGAACTTTGAATCAATTTGTTTTGAGATTGTTTTTTAATACTAGTCTGAGAGTAAGGGAAATTGTTTTCTTTCTAGATAGCATTGTTTTTCACCAGATCTGCATCTTCAATGAGCAACGTCTAGAGTCAAGAAAACAGGAAAAAAACCACTAGTCTTGATTATTTTTCTCTTTTGTTCCTGCCAATTATTTGACACCATGCAAGTGGTCATTTTATCACGGAAATAGCTGTGAGAAGCAAAAAGGATATTCAGAGAAACACAGGCAGGTCAAAATGTGTTTTCAGAGTCAGAAAGTAGCAAATTACCTTTTGGAAATTTAGGCAGAGGGTCAATACCAGGGTTTGTCAGCTTGTAGAGATAGGACAGGACTGGAGGGGGGGATCCTGTCCCACTGGTGCCGAGGCTGTAGACGGCTGGAAGGGAAAAATGGCTAGGGCTGACGGAGATGCCTCACTCTGCCATGGGCCCTCCGATGCACAAAATGACCGGCATGATGTCACCGTCACTCTGTTGCAGTTGGGAACCTGTTGGGGTGTGCACAGGGGAGTGCTTTCATCTGCCCTTTTTATTTTTCCTTTTGTCTAGTCCAAAGATGATGATAAAACCCACAAATGCTCAGTAAGATCTGTTAGAGCTAACCTGCTGCCTATGTGTGAGTAAAGTCAGAGTTCATGCAAGAACGGACCAAAAAGTTAAAATATGGGCAAGTACACTGAATTTCAACATGAATTATAGCATGCTAATGAAAAATATGTTAAAAGTAGAAAAATGGGGCAATAATGGAAAGAGAGACCAATAACACCGAACCATTTTCTAGAGAGAAGAAAGCATGTAGGACCCTGTAACTTTTTTAAGTTTAGGGTTTTTTTAACCCCAGGACCAGCCAAGTGGACATCCTGTATGGTGTGGCACTAGTGGCACTAAAGAAAGGATAATACGTAATATTTTACATGCACCCATAGCTGAAAAATATCAGGGAAAACCTGGAGCGCAATGAAACCCATTTGAGGTGGAATTTATTCTAAGGGAACAGCTCCAGTGCCACAGCCTGATTTTGGAATAGTTTAATGGAAACTGCTCCCACAGTCTTCCTTAGGTTTAAAACTCTCAGCTTAGGAGAAAAAAAAAATGCGAAGAGACCCCTGCAAGCTTCCCAAGAAGGAAAATGATAAACTGCTGTAAGCGAAATGTGCGTGTATATCGGAGGAACAGCTGTTAAAGCAACGTGAATTTGAACGGAGGAAGCTCACAGCTACATATTGCAAACAGCCTTCCAAAAAGGATGTTACATGGTAGGACGGTTCCCCCAAAAGGATGCTACAAATCACATATTTGGGTTATTAAACAACAGCAACAGTCTGAAGGGAACGGTATAAGACAGGCAGTAATTCTTCATTAGGAACATCTGATTAGAGGATTTTTCTGTCTGAAGTGTTTTTGCCTATTACTGAAATAGGTGGTAGAAAATTAGGGTGCCTCGTGAACCGCTGCTCTACTTTACATCCACGAAAAAAAGCTTCAAATGACAAGGTGCCAACATGAATTCAATAAGGCCATAATACTGCTCTCCCTGTATTTTGGTCATGTTACAGCCGAGGTTCAACTGGAATATGGATGCAGAGCCCTGCTATTCGGATGTGCAAATACTGATCCCATCCAAACACCAGGATAAGCTAGCCCCTTCCCCATGGGCAGCTTGGCCTCTGAGACAGACTTTAGCTGCTGGCAAAGACCCTCCCACACATCCCACAGCCTGTTTATCCCAGCCGAGAGCTCTGTAAAGAACTGAATCAATAGATACACATTTGTGGAAATTTGTGTAAACACGGGCTGTGAAACTCCAAACCGAAAGGCCAGGACAACCTCCTCGCATATCCCAAGTCCCACCCTTGAACTTTCAGAAGTCAATTTTTCCTTGGTACTTGTGATTTTAAATGCATGAGCCCTCTTCAAAGTCTTAATAAGTTTTTGCCCTTCAAAAAATAGCCAGTCTTGGTTATTCCGGGTTGGACCTTCCTATCACAACTTGACAAATGTGAAATAAAGTAGCAGGTAATAAATTTTTAATACAAATCCCATATTTGTCCCTGAGGAAGTACACCATTCTTTTAAGGATGGACAATGCGGTCTTATCCCGGCATTTGTCTCTCCCTCTCAGAACAAAAATAAAACAAGGATCTGCTTATCCTTTCCTTTTCGGTTCACGAAAATGTAGCTTCCTGCAAGAGCCGGATCGGTGGCTGATAACGTCGCCTAATCTGAGCGGGACCCGCCTGGGGACTCTGGTGTGAGACAGGAAAACACACCAGCTGGAAACCTGCGCAGGGGAGGTACCAGCTTCAGTTACCTCCGTCAGCCCTGCTGGCTCTCCTCACGCTTACAAAGATCGTGAAACAAACATAACTCAGAGAAGAAATACGGAAAAAAATGTAGGGAGAAGAGGACAAGGAAATCCGGGAACTGAGCGGATTAACCACGGGTGTCTCATGCCTGGGATCGAGGACCTGCTGAAACATTTTCAGTTCATTTAAGTAAACCCAAGATTTAATACCCTCTTGTCAGCAACTGCAGAATTATTTCACGGTGGCCGCAGCCCAACTGCATCTGCAAATGAAGTGCCCTATTGCCTATCTTTCCCTCTAAAACAAACTAAGGTGCATGAGCAGCTGGCATATCTTTCAAGGCATGTTCCAGGTGTTTGCTTTCTTCAGATTAATAAAGATGTTCTTTTCTTTGTTTGTTTCTGTAGCTCGCAGGACTTTTTTCCTAACAAACACCACGCTTATTGTGTGCCCTTTGAAGGCAACAGAGTGGTTCCCCTTTGAAAGCTTGCTGTAAGCTGGCACGGCTCTGATCCACGGGTCTCTATGAAGCTTTTGATTAAGCTACACCAGTCTCTGTTGCTGAAAAT